GCAAAAGTTAAGCGATTACGTTCACCCCATTGAGATATCAAGTTCAAACATCTATTGGCTAATCTCTCAAGCCCCGCCCTAGTATCAGATTCCACCAGTAATAAGCCGTCATCAGCATACGCGTTCAGAGTACATCCGGATGGTATTGGTATCGCAAGAAAATCGTCAAAGCCGATATTCCACAAGTATGGACCTAGCACCGATCCCTGAGGACATCCCATTGTAAGCGCCTTCGACACAGAATGATGATTTAGTAGTACCTTGTGAAAAGTACGAAGATATAAGGGAATCAATATTTTTAAAGCACCCCCGTGATTTTAATTTCAGCAACAGCATGGGCCACCATGCGTTGTCGAAGGCGCCAGATATATCTAAGAAAATAGCCAGCACGTATTGAAATTTTGACTCTGTGAGAAACTTTCTAACCGATATAACAGCGTCAGTTGTCGATTTACCCAACGTAAATCCAAATTGTCTATCATGAAATTCGACTCCACCTGGCAGAAGCCGGGGCACTACAAAACGTTCTAAAAGCTTTCCTAACGATGGTAACAATGTGATTGGTCGGTAGGATTTAGGATCATCCGGTGGCTTGTCGCCACTTTTTGGTATTATACGAATATTACCGCACCGCCATATACGAGGAAATATTCCTTCAGCAATGCTAAAGAAAATTTAAACCTACGCCAATTTGAAGTAAGTAGTAACAACCTTCCTAAATGGCTCAGTTGAAGAAATTTTCATTAAACAGCCCAAACCGGGTATGCAAACTAATTCGCAGTCTCTACGGACTCAAGCAAGCACCGCGATGCCGGAACTCATGCATATCCGAATTTCTAATAAAAACTGGCTTTAAACAAAGTGAAGCAGACCTTGCTTATATACCAGACTCAGAGGACAATCCAGAGTCTTAATTGGATTTTATGTTGGTGATGGACTAGTGGCGTCTAATACAAATGCTGCAGGAGATGATTTTATTAATTATCTAAAAGCTCGTTTCAAGATCACAACGAAACCCATCGCCTACTATCTGGGCCTACTTTTCTGGGAAATAAAAGCAGAAAAAAGCAGGATAACTCTATGCCAACAAGCCTATATAAAAAAGGTTCTTGAGAAGTTTGGTATGATGAAGAGTAAGCCCACACCAACTCATGTGTCAACGATACAGAACCTAAAATTGAAAACAGGCTAGATTTTCCATATAGACAGGCCGTTGGAGCTCTTAACTACTTAGCAGTAGGAACAAGGTCAGATATAGCCTATGCTGTAAGCAGAGCATCCAGAAACCTAGAAACACCTACTACAATTGATGTCATGCCAGTGAAACGGATCTTACGCTACCTCAAGGGGACTATAGACAAAGGCCTAGTATACAGGCACACAAAGGAGTCACCAAACAATTTGGTATGCTACTCTGACTCCGACCTCGCAGGAGATCAAACACCAGGTAAATCGACATCTGGGATGGTGCCTACTTTCAGGAGGAACTATTGGCTGGAAAAGTCAGCGACAAACTATAGTATCATTATTGTTAATAGATCCTCGTGAATTTTTACATCCATATCTGCCAGTTTATCAAAAGTTTTGAAAGAATTATTTGCTTGAGGAGATATGCTTTACGTACAGGACTTTTACTCGCATCAATTTCCTTAAGATTATCCCATAAAGCCTTTGCAGAGGTGCATTTCTTTATTAATTTAAGTTGAGAAGGAGTGATTATTAAATACAATTCTGATTTTGCCTGTTTATCTCCTCCAACATCGTCTGCACTTGTGTTTTGATTTAGGGGACTTTCAACGTACCTCCATAGTTTGCTTTTTATCAACATAGCTTCAGCCTGAATTGCGCAAGTTTCATAATTGTCCTTATCTAGTGGATCAATGTGAAATGTCCTCGGCATGCTTGCAATGTAGGCACAAAAGTTTAATGCCTATTTGCTTTATGTCGTGACAGCGTTTTTTCACTTTATTCGCTACCATGTTAACTTTTATAATGTGGAATCACTTTTATATATAGACAAGGCAATAATATTACAACTTGGTTAACGCAGTTAGAAAGGGTTTTATTGTAGTTAAAATACAGTAATGTAATATTTAAAGAACACGTATTATACTCGTATGTCTGCAAGGAAAAAAACCAGTGGAGTAACTTCTAAACAGTCACACGTAACTATAGTAACGACAGCTATAGATAAGTTGTAGGAAGATATTTAGTCTCTTCACAGAACTCATTAAGAGAGCCTACAGCGAGAGAATTAGCACTCCGCTCCCAGATGGCCTCCCCACAAAGTCTGATCTGTTAGTGGAAAAGTTTGCCCTAAAAAGAGCAGAGAACCGGCGGCTCAGCCCGAGATGAGCTCAATACCGGACCGTAACCAAAACGCGGTCATGTTGGACTGCGTGTTGGCCGAGGTCCTGTCAAAGATGTAAGGCGAGCAGTACCCAGAAAGGGACACACACGAGGGTGGCGGCGGTGGGGGTTGAAAGCGCAGCGCTGCCCAAAAATAGGAAAAAGTAGAGGATCCGCTCGGCGCAAAGGCTGTTGCCTAACCTAGGGGGTCCGTGGAAGAAAGTCCCCAGCCTTTTAATATCCTAGCGAATATGGACGTGAGGGTCTATGACCAGACTCGCGCGATCCACCGGGGTTAGAGCGGGAGGACCAGAATGAGCTCGAAATGCGGTGGAACGCTTATCGATATTCCTAGTGCAGTGGCGCGCAAAGTGGTCCCTTTCTGTGAGAAAGCTGTAGTGAATAACACCATGAACAGATCACCAAACAGTTACATTTACCTTCTTAGTGGTAAGCTTTACTTCAGTGCACTGTTGCGGCGTTTGACCCGGGGTCAGCCATTACATTTTTCGCTTACGGTTATCGTAAACAATCTACTTTTCGTCACATGTCACAATTCGATACAATATTCCTTCATTACTGCACTGATTCAACAAAGCAACACAATCTGCAGATCAGTTAAATCATGAGGCACCCGTTTTTGATACTTTTTATCTCATTGATTTGATGCAAACGAGTCAATATTGTAGGTAGGATAACGTTAAACAATGCCGCAAATTCTTGGGTAGTTTAATTTAGGTAGATTTGTGCAGTGCCACCTCGAGAACCGCTCTTCGACTCGATGCCCTCAGGGTTGCCTAACAGTGCGTCTCACCGCACGCCGTCACTAGCGGCGTGACGGCGAAACCATCCAGGAAGGCACCACGAAGCACCCAGTCGTAGCCGATGTTCCACAAGAGCGGCCCTAATACTGACCCCTGTGGAACACCGCACGACATTTCAGACAGCTCTCTCTGACAAATATGCCTCGACTATGCGGCGGAGGTAGGAGATACCAAGTCCTATGCCGGGCGACTCAGACGCGTGGTCGCTATATCAGTTTTGTTTTAATTTACTTATTTTTGTTAATTTCAGTATCTTTCCTTTACTCAGTAAGTCAATAGGTAATAGGTAAAATTTCGCACGTATTTTGATGAAAGCGCTGTACACAGTGGAAGCCATATTGATATGTAGTCAAGACGTCAGTTGGCTGTGTAGGCAAATGCGATCAGTTGAGACTGACTCTTTTTAGTTTACACAGCCGTATGACATAGCAACATCAATAAGATATTAAAAACTCAAAACTTTGAATTAAATTTTAAAATTTATTTTGTTATTTATGAAGTAAAACTAACATTTTTATTGTTCTTTTTATCTAAGGTCTCTCAATAATATATTGTTATATTTTATTCTTAAATAGGGTAAAGTACCAAAAAGGTGCTGTTTATTCCTCCAGTTTATGCTTTCGAATTTCAAAGCATCGTTGACTTCGCTCGCATCGTTAGCTTAATTTAAAACTTACATTTAATATTATCGAGAAATAAATCAAACAACACTTTGTAAAATACAACTACAATTTTTTGTATATTTTGAGATAGAACAAGGAAGGAACTTGGCAACATTTGTTATGACTCAACGGTCACGTGACCACACAAGCTTGGGTTTATTACGGTTTGATTGGTGCGTTTAGCGTTTGCGGTAGGGGTGTCCACTTAAAAAATATATCGATATTTATATTCGATGTAAAATATTGGATCCCAGCATCGATGTTTATCGATATATCGCTAGAAAACATCGATATTTTTTCACTATCGAATACTTTCCACAAAAATTTAATATTACCTTTTTCCAGTGAAACGCACAAAGTTTGTGGTCCTTGATTTTGTAAGTATGAATGTAGAATTAGAGACCAGAGTAACATAGCTAAACTAGTAGTGTAATACATATAAAAGATCATTATATTATATCTTCAATATAAAACACCGTCACAAACGAGTAATGGTTAGGTTCATAAACATAATAGAAATATTATATTATATACCTTTTCAACTTCGAACTAGCAATCAAACGATAGGTCAAATCAGTTATTTTAGAGTAATAAATTGTAGTAGCAAGTAAAATTCTTACATAAATTTGTCTTAGATAAACAATTAAAACAATGATTTATTTGCGTTACCGCCAAACAGAAGAAGACGACGCAAGAAGAGTGAAGTGAGTGTAAGTAAATATAATGAACCTATAGAATCCACAGACTATACATACATTGAGAGTGAATAGTCGATCGATCTGTCAGGATAGATTAGATAATTAAGATGGTCACTCACAGATGTCACTATCTTAATGAACCTTATTTAAAATTGAAGGCATCAAGTAGTGTTAAAATTATTTAGTTCGTTAATAGATTCGACAAGAAAATAAAAAAAGCAAATATTCGATGTTTCTATAAGTAAATATATCGATATATCGAATACAATAAATGTTAGTCAAAACATCGAATCAATCCGATATATCGTACGGAATACATCGAATAAATTCGATATATCGATGTTAAGTGAATATCCCTAGTTTGCGGCGATTGCTTTTCGTACGCTACGCTTGGGTGAAGGAGTGCTACTTGTGAAAAATAATTATTTATATTGGAACTGTGTATTGTGACAGATTTTTTTTTAACAATGTCGTCAAAAACGAAAAAGACTGTCTCATCATCGTCGAACATCAGTGTGGTGTCATCCGTTCAAAGCCCGCAGCAGTCAAGCACTCCTGTTGGAAGCCGACCTTCTAGTTCTGCCGGCAGGCCAAATAGCCCGTTAAGTCCTACTCGGCACACCCGTCTTCAAGAGAAAGATGCTTTACAAAATCTTAATGATCGTTTAGCGGCTTACATTGACAAAGTTCGGCAATTGGAAAGTGAAAACTCAGGCTTGCGTCGGGAGATTCAAACTACACAGGAGGTGGTCACACGCGAGGTTTCTAACATAAAAGGCATCTATGAGCACGAACTCCAGGACGCTCGAAAACTTTTAGATGATACATCGCGTGAGAAAGCTAAATTAGAGATCGACCTAAAGAGGTTATATGAGGAGAATGATGATTTGAAAAAACGGTGAGTAATATGATATTTCATATTTATATCGTAGTAATTAATTACGTAGATGCTTTAGTAACTCTTCCGGCTAACCTTAGCATGGCAAGTTTACGTCATCGTCGGTGTTTCTTAGTGGCAGCGGTGACGAGCGCGGCCGACCTCGCTTTTACGACATAGTGACATCATATCCCGATATAACCTAACAATCATATTCTTTACTAAAACAACAGGAATAAGTATATACATTTGATAGTACTCAATTAACTTTGTAGTAACGTATAAATAGTTGTTTATAAACAATACTATATTTACCTAATTATTTTTTTATTAATTTTCATGATTTATAATGGCTTTTATACTGCTTTAAAATTGTCTAAAAATACTATAATACTTTATAACATTAAAAAAATAATACACTACTCTTCAAAGAATTGGAATTTTATGAATTTAATTTTTTTACTTACATGCACAATAATAAATACTGTTTCCAACTATTACTTTAACTAATTTTTAACTATCCTCTTTATTGCAATCTTACTAACTTGCTCATTATCATCACTAAGTTGCTATGATATTGTTAGCTGTGATTAATAACATTGCCCTTGATTGTTGTATACTGCAATGTCAACTACCATTTTTGTGGACATAAGTGTTTTAAACTGGGGTACTTCAACAGGCAATGTTTTTTTAATCATTATATTGTAATCGCTATCTGCATATTTATCATAGAGTTAAACAAAAAAATGCAGACATAAGAAGGAATAGATAATTATCTTTTAGTGTCAAGGTGAGATTTTCTCAGCTTTACATTTCATGAATGTTTGTTTAAGAATTTACTGCACTTTATTACTGTCCAACATAATGTACTATGAATATATTCATCCATGAGGCTTTGTTTTGTATGTTATTTTTTTAGTATGAAATGCAGTAATCACCTTGTAAAACGCATTTATACCTTATATGTGTGGTGACGATGAATGTCTGTTAACTTCACCTTGACTCTGTTAGCCATTTAAAGTAACCGTCTAATGTTGATACGAAGTTCCAATGAAGGTTAACTTCCGTCAATACAAAATTTACATATAATTGCCAATGCAACACATTACTTTCTATTAATTTAATGATATTTCAAATAAATTTGTATTTTTGTTTCTTTGTTTTATAAGTAATATAAAAGTAAAAGTTTGATGGTGTTTGTATGGATGATACTTTTAACTCACTCGGGACAGAACTGCTGAACACAACTAGATAAAATTTGGCTCAGGGATAGGTAATTAAGATGTTCTGGCATAATGGCATACCTTTTATCATGGAACAATTGATATACATAACTTTTTTTGGTACTTTTACCAAAGACCCAATACTAAATATTATGAAGTAGAAATTCATTGAAACTGCAATAGAGTTACACTTATAGGTTTGCAGGCTATATGTGTTTAAAAGGAATTGTTGTGTGAAAACTGTACATAGCAGTTTTTTCATATCGTTGCTTCTTTTGATGCTGTTTAATATGTATTAAACAGCATCAAAAGAAGCAACGATATGAAAAAACAGTGTGTGCAGTCTAACTTATCACTACTTGCATGTGCAAGTAGTGATAAGTTAGACTGCACCACTTTAAACATTGCTATCAACAAAGTTAATTAATGCAGTAGGTAAATTACAAGTATAAAAACATGTTAGTTTCGATGTTTGCAGTGTGGAGTGATAGTTTGAGGCAATCAAATTGTGTCCCAGAGGACACTAAGAAAATGGTGGCAAATCATGGATTACTATTTCTATGTAAAGATACCACACACTGAGATACCAAATGTCTAGTAGCCTCCATTTAATCTTTAAGTAGTGAGGGCTCCTCTTGGATAGGATTTAAACAATAATGTCAAACAAAGTACTGGGATATGTGAAATAAAATTCTTAGAAAACTGCACCCAGTTATAGAATTTGATGGAAATTATTATCTTTGTTCAGTTTTTTAGTTAGATCTTGATTAACAGACTGAGTTTGTTAACACCTTTAATCATTTAACAATTTTTAAATGTATTCAAATTACAAGTTTATATTTCTTAGACGCGTAAGAGGCGACTAAGGGAGCAGGACAACAGGACTGCAAAGAGAAGGAAAACTTGAAACAAACCATTATATTATACTTATACCAACCCGTCGTGGCCAGCATAGTATAGTAGGCCAAACCTCATTTCTAAGACTAATATTACTATTATAGACTAGTTATAGGCTGTTCATGATGATGATGATTTCTTATTTAGCATGAGTTTAACATTAGGTCCCTATTTGAAAATTATATGTGTATATACACCTCTATATATATATACCTATAGATATAAAGTTACTTGCCCTGACTGAGTGATTCATCAACCCAGAGCCTATTGGGCTACAAACTTGAAATTTTGGCAGCTTATGGTTTTTATGTTGTAAGCGCTCAATAAAAAGGGGGACCCATAATGAGGTAAAATACGGGGATGAACGATTGTATCAAAGTTCGTCATTTTCAAAGTTAGAAACACGAAATATGAAATAATTACGCAAACATAGCTACAAGCTAGCAAGCAATAGCTAGTTAAGTATAGACAAAATAAGTTAAGATAAAATAATTACAATAATATTGCATATAGAGTAAATCTTAATATAACAATTACTAATGTGAGTGGTCCCCTAAATCGGTTGATTTAACTGAAGGCTTATACTAACTCCATGAGAATAAATCAATAAAGGACAGGACCTAGCTGCAAAATTGTTTCAATACCACCTTGTAAATACAGTGAGACATATATATATATTTATGTATAAGTTACAGTCAAATTGATCGCCCTATTGTAGTTACGGCAAGGTACGAGAGTCTGACCTTGCGTTGTAAGAATTTGCAACCAGGTTGTTCCTTATTCTTGTCAGAAGTCAATATTAAATAGATCACGTGAACCTCTGTGACCTAGATACACTTTTTTACTTTGCAAATAATTGTAATACTTAACATACATCGTAAATTATGATTTTTAGAAAGGAAATTGGTATTCATACATCCCTCGATATTATAAAATTTTCTATACAATATTAGAATTGACTTTTTTTTAATAAGAAGTTGCATTGAAGTCTTTTTTTTTTTATGTTCGTGATGAATTGTAATTACTTCATTCTTCAGATTTTAATGGGACCAAACTCAATTTTATGAGTGAGTTGAGGTAACAAACAAAAAGAGTACAGCTAAATTGACAAGCTGTTCCCGTTTTTTTTTATAAACTACGCAAACAAGGGCTTGGCAGCACGGTATGTTTGGCGTAGTCAAAGACGTCGTTTGCTTTATTTATTTATGTTTTTTTTATATAAGTCTCAGTGAGCAGCAATGTTTTTCTTAAAATCATATAAAAATGTGACGTAATTACATAACTATAAAATAATATTTTTATGTGTACCTGAGTATAATAATTCTAAAACTTAGGTACCAATTGTCCGTGTTTCAAAAGAGCGAGGAGCTCCTCAGATTAGAATTTTTCCTATTACTAATGTTAATTCTCTTAAACCAAACCGAATGTAATAAATTCAAATCATGCTAATGCTTTTCATTTCTTTGAAGGTTATTTTTCTCTGACAGGACTTCGACCTTAGTCTAGACGCTAGTGAAAATTGGGGTGCATCCTGAAACTAAAAACATGTCACAATGTATTTTGCCGGGAAATAAGAAATTTCTTCATAATAATAGAATATTTATTGCACTGCAAACAGTACATGAATTCTAATCATACTTTTAGCAGTAACTTAAAAAAAGTGTAATCGCATCCAATAAATATATTCCATGATGTACAATAACCCAATACATAATGTAAAGTCTCCTGAAACTATCTTATCTATAATTTTCGAACTCCGTTAAAAATTAAATAATCGAAACGGACGAAATTTTCCCTAACTAATGCTTATCAAAATTGCTTTAATGCCAGTGCAGGGACACCTTACAATATTTTCAAAGTTATCGTTTTTAATACACCTACGTAATCTGTATAATAAAGTGGCTAAGCATCAAGGTTTAGCTGTGGGGCGATGACGTAATCGTTATATTTACGGATGACATCAATGTAGCCTTCGACAAACGAATTTAACAATAATGATGACGATTTCTTCAAAATATGTGATTACAACACATTTTCAAGAATTCACCTTCAATATAACTTCGACGGGTTGTGTTATTGTTAATAGGCATTGAACATGTGAGATGTCCCTGTGAATGCCTCCCACGTCGTACAATTTATAATCCAAAATACCTAATAAAATCATAATATGAAGCATGTCTGTCTACGAATGTCTCCGTGGTACTTTAAAGAAATAGGTCACTAAAAGTTTATATTTATAGTGATTTAGGAATACACCAAAATAGAGGCGACCGACCACGAAAACCGCACAGCATTTTTTAATATTAAAAGTTAAAGAGAAAACTTTTTTATGATTGTTTGTAATGGATAAACTCCAATACAATCTTCCCTATTTCAAAAAATCTTTAACTTGTAGAAAGCGACTTTATCAGCGTTTAATATCCATACTAACATTATAAATGCGAAAGTGTGTGTCTGTCTATCTGTCCTCCTCTTCACGCTAAAACTGCTAAACCGATTTATAGTATGAGTCCCGGGAAGAGACATACGATAGTTTTATCCCAGAAATCATCCAATCTCCTCTTTTCTAAGCAGAGGCCTATGTTCAACAGTGTACTATCAATGGTGATGATTATGATGAACCCTATACTATATAAAAGATAAAATTCTAAATAAAGAAGGAACATAACTTATCGTAACGACAATTCACTACACATTTTTCTTTGCATTGGCACAATAATATTAACTTTTGTTTTAAAAACGCGAAGCCAATTGCAAAATTGATTGCGGCTATGATGTATTACAAAAACGATAATTGTCCTCTAACTATATTAGCTATATAGCTCTAACTATATTACACGAAATAGATAGTTACTATTGCTTTGATTAATTAATATTATTGCCAAATATACCATTTTATGATATACGAATATTAAATTATATGATCGGGCACACGATGAAGTGATCAATGTTTTACTTCTGGCGACGACAGATATAAAGAATTCTAACGTCATTGACATAGAATGCATTTGTCACGTCTAAAGATACATTTTTGACATAAAAATATAGTGAACGATGAATACTTCTTTAGATATTTAAATTCTGTGCTTGTTCTGCTTTATAATTTTATCATACATAAAATTACCGCTCCCTCCTTATTTAATTTGAACATTTATTATCGGCCAAGTTATGTGGGTTACTGGTTGTAAAAAGTTATTAAACGTCGTTTCGACGAATGCGCGGGAAACTCGAGAACCGTATGAACTTGGCGTATAAATATTAAATATCTATTCATGCCACAGACGAGACCAAACCACGCATGAACCGGATAGCGGCGTGTTTACAAAAACATTCCGCGTGTGGTTGCGCAACGCTGGATCACATGGAAACAAGCCTTTATGACTAGGATTACCTCGTATTCACGCGATGGCATTGTTTTTATTTAAACTCGTCTCTCTAATACGCACACTTATTAACATAGTTTAGCATTGACGAAATATACAAGGCTTAGGCGTTCAATATTTGACTAATTAAAAATTCTAGATTTTTACAGAGTTGAATTGTTTAAGAAATAAAACCATAATGGTTATACAGAGTAAGTTTGGACAGTTGCTAATGGACATATTTCAATTTCAGCTTAGACAAGAAGACCAAGGATTGTCAACAAGCAGAAAACTTGTCACGTCATTTTGAGTCGCGTTTCACTGAGGAGAGTAATAAATACAATAGTGCACTTGCTGATAAGAAGAAAGCTCAAGATGAAGCCAGGGTACGTTTTTACGTTTATTGCCTGATTTTCTAACAGTTGAAAGTTATATCCATTTCTATCTTATAAGTATAAGACTATAAATTCATGCATTTACAATATACAGGAGCTGGCTAAAGAATTGGAGAAGTTGCGAAAAGTTTACGCTGACACGCGCAAGACCTTGGAGGAAGAGATGTTATGCCGCATTGACATGGAGAACACCGTACAGAGCTTGCGTGAGGAGCTTTCCTTCAAAGATCAGGTGTTCCAACAAGAACTCCAGGAAACACGCACCAGACGTCAAGTGGAGATATCTGAAATTGGTAAATATAACAATATTTTAAAAAATGGCACATCAATAATGCAGCATTTGTAGTTCATTGATACTGTGCTGTTAGTGTTATATATAGCATTTATTATGCGACTACTGCGGCTACAGTATTTAGAAGACAAAGAATTTATGAGCTATCTTCAGGCTTTGCATAATTTATTCATAAAATCATAACGGTAATACGATATTCAAAGAATAGTTTGATAATTAACTGTTTGTTTTAGATGGTCGTCTTGCACAACAGTATGAAGCTAAGCTACAGCAAAGTCTACAAGAATTGCGCGAACAGCAAGAGGCCAACATCAAAGCCAACCGTGATGAAATTGAAGCTCTCTATGAAAACAAGGTAAATGAAAAGGCCTTGTTATTAAATACGATGAAGTTTTTTATCAAGCATTGTTGTATGATTTGATATATGTGTGATAAATAACATGTGAAAATTCATGTTGAGCCCAGAAATAAAGACAGCACCTATCTGTCTTTATTTCTGGGCTCAACATGAATTTTCACATGTTATTTCCGCGGCTCATTTGAGAAACAATGTCAAACTTTGCTTAAATGGTATAGTACTTGGATTAAAAAAACCTTATACATTGGTTAGATTTTCAATTGATTTTTATAACTATTTGTGTATTCCTGCAATCTGCCTACTGTAAGACATTTAACTAAAGGTTGCAAACGCTCAATCAGTCCTGAATGAAACCAGTCCATTTGCTTTCGCCAAGAAGTCATATGAGGTCTTGGGGGGTTTTTTATTCATTGAAATGTGTGGGTCGTCTTATGCATCAAATTCAGATTCATTCATTCAGATTACATGCAATTGTGTTTGGCTGCTTTTCAAAGTGAATAGAACATTTGCTTTGGGGAAATATTTAACTAATAATTTAAATTAAAGTACATAATCGAAAAAAAAAAGAATTTCGAAATATTACTTTAGATGTCTGTTTTAAGATTTACAATTATGTAACTATTTTACTTTTAGATGAAGAACCTGCAGAATGCTTCTCACCGTAACAGCACAGCGGCTAATGTGGCTGTGGAAGAACTGCGTACTATGCGTACGCGCATTGATAGTTTGAACGCCACGCTCAATGAATTGGAAAATAAGAACGCTGCACTTAGCGTGAGTATTTTGATATTTAATGATTTCATTGTCATTTATTATTTAAAAGTTAGTTTGTACTAGGGTAAACTAATGAAGTAGGGTGTTTTATTAATTAGTAATTATTGTTGTACACTTAGTTTTTATAATTCTACTGTCATATAAAGATAAGGCTTTTGATTTTATTTTATGGCGTACTTGATGAAAACTACAATCATTTTTTAACACTGTATAGAATCGCTGCCGCGAGTTGGAGCGCCAGTTAGAGTCGGAGCGTGCACGACACGCTGAGGACCTGGCCTCGCTCGAGCAAGAGCTGGCGCGTCTGCGGGACGAGATGGCGGCTCAGCTACGCGAGTACGCCACGCTTATGGACATTAAGATCTCGCTTGACCACGAGATAGCCACTTACCGTACACTCCTCGAAGGAGAGGAGGACAGGTGAGGGCTCCATTGCCATTTTTGTAACTTATTCAATTTTATCTGTTTATCCATTTAATCTATGAAATATTTAATTCACTCAAATGATCTATATTTTAGCGATAGTAGCTAGAAACTTTGAAAAACTATAACGGACTTTAATGTTCCTGTTGTTCGTGTTTACAATAAAACACGGATGTTTGAGGTCTTCAGTGTTTATTCTTGTAGTTATTCTTACAGAGACAATTATAATTAATATTATAAGTAATGCAATCTGCATAGTGTCTCACCAATCGTCCAAGAGGCAAAAAAGAGAGAGATGTTAAGTTCTTACAGTCATAAATGACATCTGTCAATGTGATAAATTTTAATCAATTATGCGGAGTTCTGAGTAGTGGTTTCCATCATAATTTAGTCCCGAAATTTTCAGGATGTAATTTAATGAATGCCGCGATTTTCTTGATCGATATCTTAAAAAAAAAGTCAATAATGAGAACAAAATGCAAACAAAGTTGAAAATTAAGAAAAAGTTTAATCGTTAGGTTTAAAGACTTTCCATTATCAGCACAATCTCGGGATTGTACAGTGTGTAAAGTGGTAAAAATACTATTTATCTCTAAAAATACTATTATCTCTTAATAATACCGGGGCTTAAGGGATCCCGAGATAAATAGTATAAAAAATAACAAGAAAAGAACGTACAGCCGAATCGTGAACCTCCCCTTTTTTGGAATCGAGCAAAAGCAAGGGCCGCTTTACTTCCGCCCCGCATGAAGCGACATAGTATCGAGCGAGCGTCTGATGAGGGTGTGTGATCGGCACAGGCTGAACCTGACGTCGCAGTCCCCCGGGCGCGAGTCGCGCGCGTCCACGAGCGCGGGGCTGAGCGCGGGCGGGCGCGGCACGCCGGCGCGCCGCGCCACGCCCCTGCGCGCCGCGCGCAAGCGCACGCTGCTGGACGAGAGCGAGGAGCGCAGCCTCAACGACTTCAGCGTCACCTCCAGCGCCAAGGGGGACCTCGAGGTCGCGGAGGCCTGTCCCGACGGCACCTTCGTCCGCATCAGGAACAAGGGCAAGAAGGTTATTATTAGCTGTTTTTTATCTTCCCCTCGAAAAAAATATTCATCTTGACCTAAGATTAAAGGAATAACGGTTTCGTGAAAGTGACATCGTTCAAAATTGAATGTGAAATATCAGATTCACGACTACACTATATTCTTGCTATTTCAAAAAGTAATCGATTGCCATTAAGCGACACAATGAAAACAATGTTCAACCATTGATTTTATATTCTTTCATCATCATCATTGACAGCCTTTAATAGTCCACTGCTGGACATAGGCCTCTCCTTAGAATGGAGGTTTTGACCTACTATACTACGCTGGCCAGACGGGTTGGTATAGAGTTTGTTTCAAGTTTTCCTTCTCTTTGCAGTGCTGTTGTTTTTCACAGTTTGCTCCCTAAGTCGGCTCTTACGACACCCATGAGATGAGTAGGGGTGGTGACACTCCGTATTCTTAATCCGTCACCACACACACAACTCATTACACAAGATGAAAATAAAAGTTTAAGGTAACCCAATCTCAATCATCATGTATCTACATATATAGATAATAATTGAGATTGGGTTTGAGACTATTCTTATGACATCAAACCTGCTGACAACTAAAAAATATCTATTTAAAAAGTTTATGAGGAATGAGCATTCTGCAAAAAATTTGATGTTACAGTACCAACTCACGCTTAGCATAACTTAGAAGTACCACCAATGTGGTGGACAAACTGATGATTATCAAACGCCTGAACAGATCTTCATCACTTTATATTATAGCAAGGAATATTTCGGCAACGTCTGCTTTCAAACAGAAAAAAGAGGTTAGAAGCCAGGGTGCCACAGATAAACACGTCAAACTTATTTTATTTTTCTGCGTGTGGAATCACATTATTATGTTTCGTCCTGACTCTGAGATACTTGCGTGTAGTAGATAAGGATAAATTCCTGACCATTTAATACAACATTCCTGCACAAAAGACCTTCAACTGCTCCCAAAAGTTATACTGACTTCTGGGTTTGTTTGTTTGAAATGGGGTAGTTTTCTACCTTACACTAACTTCATTTTTATACACCCACAGGAGCTGAGTCTTGGCGGCTATCAAATCATCCGCAAAGCTGGTGACCAGGAAACGTTGTTCAAGTTCCATCGCACGGTGAAGCTAGAGCCGGGCGCGGTGGCCACGGTGTGGTCCGCTGACGTGGGCGCTGAGCACGACCCACCGCGCGACATTGTTATGAAGGGTCAGAAATGGTTCGTCGCCGACTCTTTCACCACAGCTTTGATTAACAACGAACAGGAGGTAACTATATCAAGTTTACACAAATGACGTGGACATACACCCAAGTAAACAATTAACACTTCACTATCTGGTGTGCAGGAAGTAGCAGTGTCGGAGAGACAAAGGAGACAAGTCAGCACGAGCGCACAGCGACACCGTGAGCTCGCTCATAAATATCCTCGTCGCGAACAGGTATGAGACATATCTGTGATCATACGAGAATACAAACAAATTTTAGTACTTGAAAAATTTTCTAGTGACACTGATTGCTAAAAAAAGGAATTAACTTAAACCAAACCTTTATCAGAAAATTGCTTTTGATAACTTCGTACATTTACTATCTTTAAATTTTTTTAGGAAAGTTATAAAGGCGATGTATTTTTATGAATTACAGTTGGGAGAGCTTCGTGAGGGAGAAGAGAACTGCCGTATAATGTAACCCATCTATGCGACCCGCCGCCACTCGGTGCCTCACGCTTCGCGCCGGAGCTAGCCCCCCCCCCCTCCCCCCCTGCCCTGTGGGCACCTCTATTCCTTACGTAATAACACTGCACTGTTCACGTTTATTCACTTATAAAGAAACGGTACCTAGTCTTAAGAGAGGATATGTCTTATTTCGTTTATTAAAACTAACCAGGAGTAAGTTTTGTTGGTTAGTGCTTAATTATCTCTACTTACAACGGTGCAGTATTGAAGTGACAACAAGTACTATCTAATTGGCATATCAGGTCAGAATGTAAGAAGATTGCCTTGTCACAAAGACCTCTGGCACTTGAAGACTGGCAACCCAAATTTATTGTTTATTTATGTTTATTTTACTATAAACTTTAAAATGGCCTTGTGCCTCTTAGATATTACTAAATATATTGATGCATTTTTCGTATTACTTACGTTGATGTGCCTGTTTTATTGCTATTAAATATAAAAGAAAATCTAAACAAAATCCTTATTGTAGAGTGGACAAAGTACAAAATGACAGTTCACATGAAAGATTATAATCCTTCAAAGGTTTCTTACAAATACTTATAGTATTTTAAAATTAAATCAGTCAAACAGATTAATTTATAAAAAGATGCATACTTTGAGGGATTGCAATCCTTAGTGGGTAAGTGTAGAAATAAATAGATTTTTTTTATTCCCCCACCCATTTTTGAATTAGTTAATAAGAAAGTTTATATTAATAAAGTTAATTTAATATCCCGTCAGTAACAGAATTCATACATGTAGATTAAATCTACTAATAATATCATTATTCTTAGAAAGTTTGGACTAGGTAAATCACTGTATTAGGTTAAGTTTCAGTTGACAATCACAAAATGAAACGGCAGTTCGTTTTAGAATTAAGCATTGTGTAGGCACTCTTAGTCCGTTTCCAGTATAAGGGCGTAATATTGTAAAAGTTTTTCGTTTCACACTAATTTCTAAGTAATCATATCAATTAAAATTTAAATAAGTTCATTAAAACAATCATGCATTTGAAAGTACGAAAACAGATATTCGCCCATTGATGTGCCTGATTATTAATTTTATATAGTAACAAATAGATATCAGTCTCAAATGTAAGGCTCTCAATATAAAATTTGAGTTTTCCAACAACTGAATATAAATTTTTAGTTACAACCGTAATTCTATTAGATATGTTATAGCATAAAATAACGATAAATTTTTAAATGGAATTGAAATGACCATTCTTTGGTGTTTTAATATGGTGTTATTTTTGTTTTAAATAATTGAGGATAGAATCTGATTCAATATCTTTCTACTTTGTTTTGTGAGATGATCATGAGACTTTTTTTTTAGTTTGGACACAGTTTATATCTTCCCTATGTAATAAACAATATAATATTAAAAATAAAAATATATTTAAGTAAAAGGAAATTTTATTGATTAACCTCTTATATGATCCTGCCAAATAAATATCCAGCAGTGGACTATTAAAGCCTGTTGATATGATGATGTAAAGTAAAAATGACTAGACATCTTAAATCTAATGATAATAAAAAAATTAAATAAGTTATTTGACCAGGTTATATGAATATTGTCCTGCCACCTACGTGGCGGAATAGTGTCACTGACATTGGCTAGACCACCATCATGGATTTTAATTTTGATAACACAAAAATGTAGACGCTAATTAGTCGAATTTTTTTCGACTAATAAGCTAAGGTCAAATCGGCCTCGAAGAAGCTCGGTGCGCTGAACAGATCGAGGCAGTATTTCACTTCCTTCAGCTCTATAAGGCGCAAGTCCGGCCGCATATGAAATACTGTTCTCATCTCTAAGCAGGGGTACCTCAGTACCAGCTTCTCCCTCTGGATTGCATCCAACGAAGAGCGACTCGAATCGTCGATAGCCATAACATCTCCGATCGGCTCGATCCCTTGGCGTTACGTAGAGTTGTGGCTTCACTCTGCATTTTCTATTACATATATCATGGAGAGTGCTCCAAGGAATTGTTCGGACTAATACCAGCCGCAACTTTCCGCTATCGTTCCACACGGCAAAATATTCATCCTCATCACCTGGACAGTTGGCGCTCCATTCCTGTGCGCTTTTCGAGATATTATTTGCCCAACAATACCAATCTGTGGAACGGTTCATGGGCGGCGATGGTCACTTTCCATCAGGTGACCCGTCTGTTCGTCTGCCCCCTCTGACATAAACAAAAATATATTAGAATTTGTCGGTGACTGGTCCAAAAGTTATAAGCGTTTATAGGTGGCCATGCTAGTCAGTTGCCCCAGCGGAAAAAGTTCGAATTGCAAAATTTAAGTTTAACAGATATATAGTGTATTGGAAATTAGAAATGGAATCGTGTATGGTAAGAAAAAAATTGTGCAACCAACCATTGGATAGTTATTTATGAAAAACTGTGATAAAAAGTGCCGCTGAGACAATTAACTAAAAATGGTTTCAAAAATTATTGAAACAATTTTTTTTTTTTTTTTTCTTCTACGGCCATAGGAAATAAAAAGTTTTTCGTGCATACACGGACATCATACACGAAATATCTGTTATATTCAAATAATGAAATTCGAACTTTTTCCGCAGGGGTAACCTAGTCTATCCGAGGGGATTTCCGCACGGAAAAAAAAGGGGTAACCTAGAGAAGATCTGTTTTCTCCTAAATTTAGTCGCTAATTTGTCGAAATCAGTTGCCAAATATCAGACATGTCGGTCACTGGTTCAAACGTTATAAGCGTTTCTAGGCAGCCCACCTTTTTTTTGTTGACGGGGTGGAAAATCCCTTCGGATCTCCTGCTCTTCGGGGACTCAGGAGCCAGGAGTATGTGGTGATTCCACTAAGAGAAAAAGAAGAATTTCACACTGATGCATTTTCTATTAAAGTGCAACCCAAACCGTGAAAGCGTCATTGTCAGACAAATGACATTGGACCACATCTGACACTGTCAAAACAAACTTATAACCTAAAAATTGTGATTATTGTAAATACTTATTAAAAAAGTGATTATAGCAATTAACAAGTTAAATAAAATATATATGTTATATAAAGATCGAGAAGAAAAGCTACTCTTAGTGTATTAATTAGAAATAAAGACGCAAACTAGGTAAAGTATTTGTACTCCTACTCTTATTTGTTTTAAGAAACCTAGAAAAATCAGATACTTCATCTGATACTTCTTTAGTTCTTTACCTTTTCATTTAATAGCATCATTCAGAAATATCGATACCCAAGGAAACTTGCAATACGAAATACAAAAATATATAGGTATCCAATAAACTTAGACATACTTTTATACTGAGGTTTTTGTCTTGAGATGCTGACTATTTTACAGACACATTACACGTCAAGTGTTTAGATTTATTATGTCTTATGGTGTGACGTCTCAAATGCTTAAAGATGTGTCACAAAGGTGCATGCAACTCGCACACCTTGCATCTAATATTGATAGTTGAACTACTACAAATTTTAAATGCCCTACCACAAACTCAAATATTTTTAATGCCATTATAATGCAATTATATACACACATTACATTATATATACACATTAAAACAATTTTTACAAAATGTTGGTTTAACAATATCTTGATTGTGAGTCGACCCCATGGCTCATGACTAAAACTAATATCTGAAAAATGTACAATTCCTTTTAATTAATTTATTAAATTTAAAACCAATGATAATATTTAGTTACCCTGAAAAGGTTTATTGACAGTTCTATTGATTTTGATATCAACAAATTTTGATAATCTTTACTGATAAAACTGTTTGTTTTATTTTTATCTCTATCCATGTTGACGAGTTGATGAATGTTCAACCATTTTAAATTTTATACGACTTTACTTGGTATTTTGGCTTCACTTATTGTTTTCAAAAATAATGCTTTAAGGGGTAATCCTAAAGCTGTTTCTTTTTACTTTTTGGACTTCATTCCATCTTAAATTTACTTACAAACTAAACAGGTTAGTGTAAATATACATCGCGAAGATAAACACATCGATGCTTAGATGTTATTGTTGCTATCTGTTTTTTTCAGTAATTCAATCACCTTCAAGAAAACTTGTTTACTAGAAACACTTGCCGCCAGTATAGACAAAACGTTTCATTATGTTCAAGTAATTGTTATTGGGCGAATTTAATCAATTTTATAAAATACGTTGTCAGAGAAAGAAACTTTTATTTTTATTTTCTGTAAAAAAAAAACAATATTCGGTAATCAAACTCGGTAAGCACCTAGGACCGCGCCGATACCCAATAGCGCCTGTGTGCATAACTATGAAGCACCTCTTTTTTTCACTTTTGACTGAAATAAATGTTCTACAGTTTTATATACTTAGATAATATTTTCCTAAATAGGTAAAACCAGTTCGCTTCCGCTTGCCAATTACTGCGAAAAATAAAACACGAATTAAATTTTTACATACTTATAATTGTATACTTAGATATTAATAACAAAATAGCTGACTTTTTTCTAATAACACTGATTTAACTATTACGTATGCTATGTTTAAAAAAACAACAAGAGTCTAAAATGTGTAGGAATATAAACATACTTAAATTATATTATTTCCACTCTTCTCGCTTTTCTGTTTACGAAATCCCTATGGCCTAATATGTCCTCCTCTATGGATATTGTTGCTAAATTTGTTAATCTCTCCTGTCTCATTGTTGAGCGCAGGTAATTTTTTATAAGTTTAATTTAGAACAGGACCTTTCCGCCTTGCTACGGTAACTGGCATATTTAGAAAACTTCGTAATGCCATGGTGATGTTAGGGCATACAGCTGTCAAATTGTTTAAATTTTATGAATCTGAGAAGTTTCACCACGTCATTATTTATTTTTTTGAAAAAAGACTGTCATGACATAATTTCTTCACACAAATCATGGCCGTTAGTATCCAATGAATTATTTGCTGAAAGTTTTTCCTGCAAACGATGGCAGCTACTTCTTAATCGACTTTGATCTTAGTCATC